TATTAAAATATTGGTAAGTGGGTCTGACCGTGTCTATTACTGCGTGATGCACGTGAATCCATCCAACAAAGAATGAAGATTGGAACGTGAAAGCTTAACAATTAAGCAAAAGTTTTGAGTACCCAAGTTAAAACATTGGAGTAAAGTTCAGAAGAAGGGGGAAGAAAGGTTGTCTGCGTCTATAGGAACCTAAAGGAATGGCATGACCATTTCTAGCCCATATCAGCTGGTCCACAGATGGCCTGAACTGCCATTTTGTCAGAAGTCAAGTTCTGGAAATCTACCCACTGCCACGTTCTGCCCCCTCTTCTACTACAACAAATCTGGCTTCCTTTGTTTTTTTAGCATTAATGGCTCAATTCACATTAAATACTATTTAAAGTTTGTATTTAATTAGATTTGATTTTTTTAAATTATATACTATTATAAAAATTTAAAATTTAATTTAAATTCTAAGAAATAATTTATTCCATTTAAACATAATAAAATTAAAATTTATCGATTTAATTTATCATATTTTTAATTTAATTTTTTATTTCATAATTTTATTTTAATATAAAATTTTAATATATTTTAATATATTTTAATATAAATTTATTATTTTTATTTTATAAAAATTTAAAAAACATATAATTAAATTTAAATAAATTTTTTATTTTGTTTCTTTTGAATCAAAATTCGATTAAAATTTAATATATATTTAATGTATAAATTTAATTTAAACTAAATAAAAAATTACGATTTCAAATTAATTTTTAATTTTTCAATTTTTTTCTCCCATCTATTTATTTGGTTTCAAAAGTCATTGCCTATTCCCCATCTGAAATCATTTTATTTATGTCTTCAGAAAAACATAGAGCATGGTCCATGAGAGAAGATGCATTATCTTTTTGATTTGTCAGTTTTAGATTGTAAGATGGCTTAAAAAACAAATATTGCACGGTTCGAGAAGATCAGACATGCATGATCATAGTAACCAACAATCCTTGATGCAATCTCAACCGTCTTTCTTAGAATTCTCAAAGCGACAAACAACAACTTGGCGTACGGGATCACTGCTATTGGCACCGTCAAAATTGAATACTGCTCTGTCGCGTCAGAAACGTAATTAATTTTTGTCGTGCTTTTATGTGCCACGTGGAAGCAAGAGGAGATGTAGGTGATGCGGTGGTGACAAGAACTCAGCCACACGTGTACAGTCATATCTCGGGCAGGTGGTCAGCTCGGGCTGACAGGCATTCTTGGGCAGGAACTGCGGTTGGGGAAACATAACCTCGGAAAAAGTGGCAAGGTTAAAGTAATTACACCACATCATGCATTCATGTCGTTTAGCTCTCTCTTTTTTTTTTTTAATATATTAATTTATTTTTACTTTTTACATTGGTCACTGTTTTTTTTTCTCTTGGTTAACTATAGATAATACACTTGTGCCAGTAAATTATAATAAGATTTTCCAATATATATATATTTTAAGAAAAGAGAAGATGTCAATTGTATAAAAAAACGTCTTATCAAATTGCATCAAACTCGTGTGATCGATACGATAAATAAGAGTAAGCATTTGTCGGTATTGCGAGATATTTCTATAGCTTCAAAAAAATTTATTATGAAGTTCTAAATAAAGATTTTAATTACTAAGAAAAATGTTTTGTTTTGGAAATTTTTTAAATCTACAAATTTTCAAATATTTTATATTAATATATATGAAAAATTCATATTTATTAAAATAAAATAAATTTTATTATCAAAATTAGTATAATAAATTAATAATACATATTTTTAAAATATACTAAAAATAAAAAATATTTGATAAAGTTTAATTTTTAATATAAAATATTATAAATATATAAAAATAAATAAAATAAAATATTAATATAATAAATTATTTCATTAAATTATAATTATCAAATAATTAATTAACAAATTAAAATATTACCAAATAATCAAAGTTACACGATAAACCTTGATCTCAAAACCTTAAAATTTTATAACCTCCACTTTAATATTAAATCAAAGTCTCAATGATACATAAAAATGAACTCAACGTATTTTTTTACTATTTCAAAGCAAAAATATTATATTAATATGAAATATATTTTTTTTATTGAATGTAATATAAAACTTATTAGAAATACTTTGTCTAACTTTGTTGGCGGTCATTTTCGACGAGTGATGCAGGAGCAGGAATTAAAACGATTTGCTCCTTATAAAATGGGATTAAATCTTTTAATAAGGTTTAGTGATAAGAAAGACACGTTCAAAATTGATCAGTATTGGTACTGCACAAAACCATTTTCCCCGTAAAGCTACAAAAATTATTGATTCCGCAAATGGACAACAACTGGCAAAATAGGTCGTGAAGAAATTTTCCAAAAAATGTTTTTGATTTTTTATTTTTTAAAAGAGGCTCCTATCACAATCGAACAGCGAAGGCAAAACCATGGGACGATCATCATCATCATCAATGATACAAAAAAAAATGCTGTAGTGGTCCCCACTTTGGATGGTTTTGGAGGTGGGCCCGGCTAATTGCAGAAAGAAAAAAATGAAAACGATAGAAGAATGAGAGAAAAAGGGCGGGCGAGTGGGTTAAGACGTTGAGTGAAGAGAGCGTTGAGGAGCAAACGGAACCGTGGATTTTTTTTTTCTCTTTTTAGTCCAAAAAATATGATTATGCGAAAAAGAGTTTTAGAAGTATTTTAAATAAAAAAGCGAGTTTTTTAGAGTTTCTACAAGTCTTACTTGCATTTATAGCGCGTGGTTTACCCCACTATAATGATTTCAATTACCAGTATTATTTTTTAAAATGATTGATGGTGCGCTCTCATACTGACTTTTCCAAACTTTGTTGAAAGTGGGGCCTTAAATTTTTTTACCTTCTAAAACTATTTTAGGACTAATTTGATCAATTAACTTTTATTAACTACTACCTAAAGAAATTCAAGTATCTTAAAAAAATTTTATTTTGCAGCAATAAATTTATAATGATATTATTATTTTACCTTTTTTAATTTTAATATACATAATTATAAACTTTATAGCTCCACATTTTTTTTATAAATTTTGTATAGGAATAATATCAAAATAAGCTTTAAATTTTTTATCTTTTATGAAATAAAATTAAAACTATTAGCTTTCATTTTTTTGATTAAAACTTAGACAATATAAAGTATTTAATTTGATGATTTAACTTTTAGAATATTTAGATAAACTAGATCATAAATTTTTTAGAGAATTTTTTTATCAATTAGACATTATTTATTAATTTTTAAAATTTAATGAGTATAATTATAATAAAATAAATGTTTATAATCTTAAATTCATATAATAAAAAATAATGAGCTTGTTTGTATTTTTTAATAAAATTTAAAAATTTATTTGAATATTAAACCTACATATACTCGAAAGAATAACAAAATAACAGTATTACGGATAATTTGCATATTATTCTTGTTTTTATTTTTTATGAAAAATTCAAATAGTATTTGTTTAAGGGATTTAACTTGGCATACAATTACAGTATCTGACAAGATCAATGATTATATAAAAATAATTATTAAGTTAATACCCAATTAAGCAACCATTGCTTTGAATCCAAAAACTGGCCTACTTCCCCCAAGGTATTTGGTTTCTTCACCTTTGCTCACATGCTCTCAAAGACAACATTTTCTTTGGGGCCAAGGATGTTCAACACATTGAGATCCAGTTTCTTGGTATGTATGTGTCCCCCTTCCTCCATTATGAGAGATTGATCAATAATTAATTACCTAAAATATTTGGAATTTTTTTCTTGACCATTTATCTCAGTAAGTTTGGTTTTATAAAAAGTTACCATGCAATTTTGATGTGGTTTAATCATAAAATTTTAACTTATATTAATAGTTAAATATTTTTTAAAAAAGTTTTAATTAAATAAATATAATTTTAATAAAAATTTATAATTATAATTATATCGTATCAAAATTTGGTGATAATTTTTATGAAATTGAATCCAATCATAGCTGTAATTTTTTTTGTTCTCATTTAGATTTTATCGTAAATACGATTAAAATTATTATATTATTGGTGAATTATTGTTAAATTTATCGTATTATTAATTAAATTTAAATATAATTTATTTAATATAATATTTTTATTAAAAATTTTTAACTATAATAATAATAATTATTAATTTTAATTTACTACAATTAATTTTATCTTCCATTCAAATGTAGCGTTTGTCAACTTTTAAGAGTATTTAATTTCCTAAAAAGGCAAAAAAAAAAGTGCAAACCAAATTATTGAATTAGTATTTATTTCTTTCTTCAAATTATTGCTCTTCAGGGAAAAAAAAAAGTTGAAATCAACCTGTCCTACTAGTGGCTAAAGAGCCCAAAAATCTTTTTTACGAGTCTTTGGAGAGGGACCCACCACAATGCAGAGGAAAGGGGAAAACCAAACGGTCCTTGGACCCAAGATTATGGCGGTGTGGTCGTTACGTTAACGCGCACCTCACGAGCGTGGGGCCTGCCCTAGATATTGACTATGGAGTGTGTGGGGGCTTTGATTTTGAAGGTCTAGTCCTCAAATACGAAATTCCATTTCCTTCTTTTCGCCCCCTCATCTTTCCTAAACCACGAAATTGCCATTTCGTTTTACATTTCCCCATTTTTAATATTTGGAGTTATAAAAAGTTAAAATTTGGTTATTAAAAATAAAATTTCAGCTTTCAATTTTTAAACATGGATATTATCAAAATTAAAATATTATTAATTTATTAATAAATTATATGATTATAAATGAGCTTATTATTATCAGTAGTAAAATAAATTTTTATCATTAAATTGAACAGTTTTTATTGGTTTTTTATATAATTTTGTAAATTACTCCAACAATATTTTCGTTATTTTCAAATTTAATTGGGGTTTTATTTTGCAAAAAACAAAAACTACTTTTAATACTCTATTACATTAGTTTCTATTTATCACAAAACTTATGACAATTTTTTTCATTTTTCATTTTCTGAATCCAATGGCAATCCGATGGCATTTATGGCCTTTTGAGCCTAAATCAATGGCAACAAGGTCAACGGTGCACAACCAACCCTAAAAAATTTCTAACTTGGAGATGCAGGTACTTGTAGCCAATGGATTCACTAGCACGGATTCCTGAAACCTGCCGTTGTTTATAGCTTTTTCCTCGATACGGTACAAAGCTTTCCAGTTTCCCCTATTAAATCCACATTTCACCCCTGCACCCACTCAGCTTCCTTTCTTAACCATCTTCTTAACTTACTCTCTTCCTTCAAAGACCCCAAAGACCGGACCTTTTCTAACAGACCAGATGGACTACTCTGGACCGTCAAGGAGGCCTTGTATTATAGAAGAAGATGATGGGTTGGCTTCTCTTGTAGTTATGGAAGCTGGATACTTAGGAAGCCATTACCACAGTCATAAGCAAAATGGGTTTTTTTCAAGACCTTTTTGTTACTCTAGGAGGAGTAGTTTGAGGAATCTGTCTTGTTCTTTAGTTTCTTCTCCAAGGCCTTCCAGGCTTTATGATGCCAGATTTGAAGACCATCAACCCCATTTCTTGGATGCTTGTTTTCTTTGCAAGAAACCTCTGGGGGGTAACCGAGACATCTTCATGTACAGGTTAGTCCAGATTTTATGTGCATATCAATCTTTTTTAGATAGAAACATCCCATGAATCTATTAGGCTGCGTCTAAAAAAAACAGAGGAAATGCGCATGTGCTTAATGAATTTCCCCCTAAGATCCATTGAGATTCCATTTGCTGATGTTAGATACAAGATCTAGATGTTAGCAGAATAAGTTAAATAAAGTTTTTAGTCCAATTTTGAACTAAGGATTAATTTTGGATAACAAATTCCAGGCAACATGGAACTTGGGATAATGGATTTTATTATGTAACCTGTGGAGTTAATTCTTAAAGATGGTTTTATTTTCCCTGAAGTGTCTTTAAGTCTTTGAATTTCGCAGAAACCAAAACTGGTTTTTTGGCTTTAAACTTTGTAGCAAATATCGATTTGGTTGCTGATTGGTATATGGTTTGTTATGTTGAAATCTTGCAGAGGGGATACACCTTTCTGTAGTGAAGATTGCAGACAAGAACAAATAGATATAGATGAAGATAAGGAAAAGAACTGGAACCTTTCTTCCTCAATGAAAGCTTTGAGAAAGAAGGACCAAAGGAAATCTACATCTCCAACTAATGCCAAAGACTACTCTTTACAAAGAGGCACTGTTGCAGCTGCCTGAATCACCTCCCCAAAGGAAATAATATTAATATCTGCATATATAATATATAAGTTGAAAAAAAAAAAGGAAGGCAAAGAAAAAGAACATGGAGATCCATGAAGAGAAGGGCCAAGGAGAGAGAAGAGGAAGAAGAAGCCTACCTTGAGGGGATTTCTTCTCGGTTTTTTTTTTTCTTTCCTCACAAAATATATATATATATATATATATACTTGATTAACTGTGAATGTTATGTAGTACTATATAAGATTGTGAGATAGCATGGATCTACTCTAAGATGGGGCTCTTTTTTGGTTTTTTTTTTTTTTTTTGTTAATTAGATTTGATTTTTTGTTCTTTTTACTAACAAATGGTAATGAATAGATGAAGAATGATGATAAGGGAAACCTTTTAGGCTGCTCTTGGTCTATTATCGTACTAATTTCTTTTATATTTTCAGTATCACTAATGTTAAATGAGATTGACATAATTGGAACTTAGAAAGCTGTTTTCATCTGTTGATTTTAGTTTCATTGTTAAGCTTCTTCTTGTTGCACTTTCTATTCTTTTGCCTTTAGGCTTCTTTAGTAAGTTCAGGGAGAGTAAGAGGCAAAGTGGGTAGGTAAAAGGAAGAAAAAGTGCTTTCTTTTTTCCTGGTAAAATGCAATTGCTTCTCGGTTCAGGAATTTGTGGCTTGTGCAGTTACCTGCCACAGGCACAGGGACCACACAGCTCGCACTGGGGAAACCATGACTAGTTGCCATGTTAGGCTTCATCACCAATGCTCCACCCAGCTGTCCTGTAGTCTTGCAGAATCTTGTTGCATAGAACAGAGTTAACGGGGAATTCTTTTCTTTTTCCCTTTTCTTGTGGCCTTTTTTTTTATTGAATTGCTTTAGATATTGATGGCTCTTTCTGGATGGTTCAGACTTCTAGAAACCATAGAATACCGACAAAGATCTGTGTGGGAATTGGTGGACATCAATCATCAATGTTAAGACGAATGAAGGCCAGAACTCGAGAAGATTGTAAAACATACTTCAAAGTGAGCTAACGATTTTGATTATTTGAACTAATTCCTGTTTAACTAAAAGTGATTGGTGCCATTGTTTTGAATGAAGAACATAAGATTAATCATTTTAATCATCATTATTAGACTACAGAGTAAGTGATCCAATTTTTTCTCTTAAAAGTAAACACTCTAAAATCTGTATTTATCAAAGAATTATAATATTAATTACCAAATATAATTCTATATATCCTACTTTCGGTTAAGCACGTTTAAATTGTAAATCATAGCTGGTCAAACCGCTAGGCTTGGGCTTCTATTTGTGGGGTCCAAAGCCTTTAGAGCCAGATATGGGAATAATTGAATTTGGACTTCAAAGTCCAAAGTTCTAGCTCCGAAATCTGGACTGAAATCCAGTCATGGATTTGAATGGGATACGAGTCATGCTATCCTATGAATTTCTTATTAGTCCGTCAGTCCAAGTCACAGTGTTTGTTAAATCTCGGGCCTGGCCTGTTTGGAAAACCACGGTCTGCATGCCCACATTCTCATTCTAAATAAAACAAAAGAAATTAACGGTATCAAAATGAAACTACAAAAATTATTTTGGCGATAATAGATGAAAAAAAATAAAAATTTAATTCATTTATTTAAAAACGGAAAACGAGAATCAGCATAATCCATCTACATTTCTATAACTTCACAATTTTTATATAATCTAAATATTTTTATTTCTTTTATAATAGATCAAGTTAAAAGAATTATTCCTAAAGAACTTACAAATTCTTTTTCTCTAATTCATGAAAACAATTATTCATAATTAATCCAACGTGTGTTCACTAATATGAATTTTTTTAAAGATTTGTATATGATTTATTATCATTGTACGTATTTCATAACACAATCAATCAACGAATGCCACCATTTTATCAATAAGTAAATTAAAAAATTTAGAAACCTTTAAAAATAAATATTTTATATTTTAATTATTTAATTTAAAATTTATTTTTATTTTAAAATTTATCTTTATTTGTTAATAGAGTGTCAATCTCTAATTAAGTAAAACTGTATGAAGTGCGTACATTAGTAGTGCAAATTAGTTTCCTTTTCTTAAAAAAATGCTATTACAAATAAATAATAATAATAAATTTTAAAAAATATTTCTTGTAAGCAAAGAAATGTATCGCTTGAGCACGTGAGGAGTGAGTGCAATGTTCATTGTGCTGCGTTGCAATTAAAGACAGCCGGCGTTCTAGGAAAATTTCCGTTACAAGACAACTGCAAACGTCATCAATCTACGTGTCAATTTTGGGCTACAAGCCACCGCCTTTTTGAGTGGCACGATAGTAAATTGATGTAAAAAATAGTGGCTTTTATTGAATCCAAGTGGATGATAAGGTAACAATCCGCTGTAATGACGGTAAGTTTCGCATATTCTACTAATAAAGAATCACCACCCACACCGCTTAAAACTGATGCAATTTTGGTTGACCACATCAAGCAACGTACCTTTGGTTGATCAGGTCAAATAACCTAGACTTTACCCATAGATGTTAAGTAGATTATAACTACTCCCATACCTTCCCTTCGAATTGCGTCTGGCGTCTTAAAAAAAAAAACTTTGCTTTCTTGTAAAACCGCAATTGGTTTTTCTTCCAGAAAAAAACTGGCCAAATAATATGAACAACCAACATATTTGATTATTTTTTCTTCTTTATTCTTTCAAATTTTAGATTCTGATTAGTATCTTCATGATCAGATTTTAAGAATTGGAGAAGGAAAAAAATGTTGGAGGATCAAGTGGCTTACCTCTTACAGAGGTATTTGGGTAATTACGTGAGAGGTCTGAACAAAGAAGCTCTTAAGATCAGTGTTTGGCGAGGTTTGTGAAGTTTTCTTCACTTTTTTCCTTCTGGTTTCTGGGTTTGGGTAAAGTTCATTTTTTTTTTCATGTTGTTTGCTTTTTTATTGTTTGTAAGTATAATTTTTTATGTTTATTTTTAAAATATGCGTTATTTGGATACTTGGGTAGTTTGGGTTATGACTTTAAATAGTCGAGAGAGTAAACGTGAGTGGGCGTTTTTGAAATTGGTTTGTTTTGAATTAAATATAATTTTGTTGATTGGTGTACTCTCTTGCCTGCATAATCTTTGAATGTGGTGATATAAGTCTGATTATTTAGTCTTGGTTCCTAGTGATCATAAGCATGGCGGTCTATCGTAGACTGTTTATCCCATTTTGTTGGATTCGTCTGTGCGGTGTTATAAGCATGTTTGCACCATGTCTTTACTTCTGTTTTTATGTCTATTAAATCTTTTATACCCAAATGTTTAGGAAAATGAAAAAGGGGAAGATTAAAAGAGGGAAAAAACTGAAAAAAAGTAGAGGACATTGAGAGAAATCTAAGCAAGACAATATTTAGAATGCTTAATAAACTATATTGGACTGAGGAACACAGAACTGTTGAGGTTGCTCAACATAGGATTTGGAGATGCAAAATGGTTTCGATATTGATTTGTGAAAGGGTATGTCTGATGATGTTGAAGACTATCTTTTGAGTATTATGCAATTTTTTTATTTGATTAGGGGTTTATGGTGATGAGGAAAGTTTAATATTGTTTATACCTGTGAGGAGTTGTAAAAGGATAGGAATAGTGTTGATTTTGCTGCAAATAATCATCACGTATTAATAGGTTACTTCCCTTGGATTTTTTTGTTTTCTTGATGTCTTCACTTATTTTGTCAACTGTAAAACAGGTGATGTTGAACTAACAAACATGCAACTGAAGCCAGAGGCACTTAATGCATTAAAGTTGCCCGTGAAGGTCAAGGCAGGATTTCTTGGATCAGTTAAGCTCAAGGTTTGTGGTGTAAATATTGTTGTCTTAAAAAGTTTTATTCACTAATTGGGGCCATGCTTTATGTTCTTATTTTTATTATTTTTTCTTGCATTTGCTTGCAGCTGTTTGATAAAATCTAAAATATATATGGGAACAAATTATAATCCTAATTTCATGAGTGTGAAAACTATGAGTTTCAGAAACTAATGGAGTGATGAAGTAAGTGTTGAAGATGGTTGAGATGAAGTTGGTGATATGGTGACTGTTTGGCTGTGGTAACTGGCTGGTATTATATTACGCCTAACATATGCATGATAATATTGAAGTAAATTTAAGAAAATTGCTGTTTTGCATGCAACTTTTATTTTTGGTAAGTATGACGAAATCTAAAAGTGGAGAGGAGATTTGAACCTGGGTAAGTTAACCCTCCTAAAGAAGGGCAACAACCATTAGGCCAAGCTTGTGTTGCTAGTGCGACTTTTGTCTATCTTGCATTATTTATTCTTCTAAAGTTTGTTGCATTCATATAGAGTACCGATGTTTAACATGCCTGCTTCAGGTTCCATGGAGTAGGCTTGGTCAGGATCCAGTTTTGGTTTACTTGGATTCCATTTTTCTGTTAGCTGAACCTGCAACCCTAGTTGAAGGGTATAGCGAAGATGCCATCCAAGAAGCTAAGAAAAGTCGAGTACAGGTAAGACCGGGTGAGTTGTATGCATGTTGATATTGTTAACCATATAAAATTTGTTTGAATATTGATTTTTTTTTTAATTCATCAATTTAATTTTTGTTGGTGATAGGAAATGGAAATGAAGCTATTAGAGAGGATGCATCAGTTGAAGTCTGAAATGGTATTTTAATGAGATTGTCGATATAGTACTTTTGAATTGTGATTTTTATTTGTGGTTATGATTTTCCACATGGTTATATGTTTGAACAGTTAGGGTTTTACATTTTAGACTTTCTTTTACCATACATAAGCTTTCCCCTTATGATCCTTGATCTTTGTGGTTCTACGAATTTTGATTCCCCTTATGGTCCTTGAGCTTCTATGGTTTTAAGAAGTTTCCGTGTTTACACTTATTTTTCAATCATTAGAACTTCTGGTTCTATGAGATAGGGTAGACCAACAGGTGCCTTAGAACCTACTGGTGCTATGATGTAGGATAGACCAACAGGTACCTTAGAATCTACTGGTGCTATGATGTAGGGTAGACCAACAGGTATGATTGATCTTCTG